AGTAAGAGTGGCAAGTAACATTTCTCAAGTAAGTGAGAAAATAAATATACTATATATTGTAGATGCTATCCCATTCTTGATGTAAGAATTTGAATTACATGAATTTTTTTTTTTCATTTTCGGATGACTTTTCCTCGAATTTTCCCATGCTAACTTTCGTATTTGCATTTTCTGCAAAGTAGCAACACCAAGTTTTCATTGACATTATATTTATGTATGCAGCGTCAACATTTGATTTGCAAAGTCAGAAATAGTTGCAAAAAATAAATTAAAGAACTTGTTTTCCTTACAACTATGCAATCATTGTTATTTATTTGCACTTTTAATGTAGTAATGTATGTATGTGTGCGTGTGTATAGCATATGCATATATGTATGTATGTACAAGTGCATATTTATTATTTCTCTCTCAGCTAGTGATTTGATTGCAATGCATAACTGCATATTTGCATGCGACAAATTGATTGCGAAATTGATGAGCAGACGACATTGCTTCCCGTGCATTCATGAATAACGAATGCTGGGATTTACTATGCCATTTCCACTAAAGAATTTACACACATTCGTAGCCAACATGCTACTCGTATTGATTGTTTACCATTTCGCCACCAATCTAATTCCAAAGCATACTTACAGGGGATTTTATCCGAAAATATGGAAAATTTAAAAAAAAAAATTATTTGTAGCCTTAAAAATAATTGTTTGGCTGAAGAACTTGATTTTCTATTAAAAGTTAAAATCACTTTGTAAAGAATCGAAAATCATGACATTTTCCTATCATTTTCTATACAAAAATACGCCTCATTATATAAAGACTTTCTATGTATATTAAGGTAAAGATATACATATAATTATGTATGCATGTAGATGAAAATAGCTAAGGGTTGAAATATATTAGGCGTATTCTCGGAGTCTTCCAAAGCCCTTGCACAGTGCACGGACTGCATGGATTGCACGGTTTTCCTATGGGACAGGTTTTCAAACAGTGCAATCCGTTCACCGTGCAAGGGCTTTGCAAGACTGCGAGAATACCCCTATTTAATTTTGCGAAATGTCGTTGTGATAAGCATATGGAGGAAAAAGTTTTTTCATTATAACAATTTTTTTGCCAAACATCGCGATACAGCCTTCAAGAGCGTATCAATTCGATAACCCACGTTTATGAGAAAACCTGAAGTACCATTTTTAAGAACGGGTTGAGTACAAAATTATTATGGTTCAAAATTCCGTATCTAAAATTTTGCAATCAAAATGCTGTATTTAAAACTGTGTACAGCAAAATTCTCCATTTTAATGTTCCGTATTGCCAAAGAAAGAGTGCGCACAAGTGCTTTTCCGATTTTTCCATATAGAATTTTCTAAAGCAAAAATTTGTTCTTTTAGTTACGTCTACTAAATATGTTTCTCTCAATACATGATATGATTATAGTTACGTTATTTGGTTATAGTTACCAAATCTTGTGTTAGGCGAAATATATTTAGCTACTTTTTTCTGAGTGTAGATTTTCCAATTTCTCAGTACAGAATTCCGTAAAGCAAATATATACATATATGTATGCATACATATCTAGTTTATATTAAGGTAATACATTAAATTATAACTAAATAATGTTATTAGAAATCAGCCAACAATATGTGCTTCGCTTTACAAATAAGAATGTTTAAAAACCTGATTTTGTGCCAACTATAAAATCTCTGAGTACTGCAATCATTTTTATCACAAATACTCTTGAAGACGTAGGTGCCAAAAAAATTTTGCTTGTGGTTTGAAAAAATTTCATATTTGGAGACAAATCACTGTAATATGTAACACTTTTGTTTCTAGGAATTTCCATTTCGAATATATAGCGATTCAAACACGCTTAGCACACTACCTCACAATTGCAGTGGAAATTGTGCACGCAGCGTATAGAATACCAAAAATTGTATGGGCTATAAAACTGAACGCCCAAAAATGTTCTAAAAATTCAAATTAAAAACTTTGAATTTTTGATGAATTTTTTTTGAATTTTTCTAAATTTTGCATCGAGTTTGAGACTTTGGTTTGTATGAGTTTGGTTGAAGTTTTGACAATATTTTTATATTAAAATAATTACAAAAAAAAATCACTTGAAAGGCATCGTGAATATTACCAAAAAAAAAATCAACACGTGGTCACTTTTTTGAGTCAGTGTATTTACTTTATTAATATTTTTTCTTGTCGGCCGCTGTGGCTGAGCTGTAGGAGGTGCGTACTAATACTCCGTAGTAGTACCATAGTACCTGGTAGTAGTAAAAGAGAAAAAGGTTTTGACATCAATAACCAATTGTTAACTTGTTATTTTAAATAACAAAAAATATGACTTTCAAATATTGCAGCAATGCAGTAGTAATAATTAGTTACTACTCAAAATAAAACGAGAAAATAAAAATGTATATTGTGCCATACATTTTTTTTTATAAAATATAATACTCTTACTTCATTATAATAAATCACCAGCAAGCCTGAGAGCAGAGAGTATACATTTCAATCTATGCATAAATTGCCGGGGTAACAGCAACCAGATACCGTCGTGTGCGCGCTTTGCGGTTTTCTCTGCAACTAGACAAATCAGCTTTGTTTCTGCAAATGGTCAACCGTCTGCCACGCTGATGGTTTGTCACTTCTATTTACTCTCTGCCCCAAGCCATTATCCTTCGGTTTGTCTTTTAAGTCATCTGCATACTCACTGTTACAACGGTTATGTTACCGTTTACTCCGCTTCTGGCTACACTACCAACTGCTGTCCCACCAATTGGTTGTTTTGTCAGTAACCAGTAACCACAAACAAAGTATGTCAGCTGCATTTATTTTGCATTATTTGCCATTCATTTATTCATTCATAACTATTTTTTTTTTACATTTCGTAACATTCATTCATACATACATACATATCTCTGCAGTGAGTGGTGAGTCTTGTTGGTGATGCATCACGTTGACGTGACTGCTGCAGTAACATTAGTTTGGTGTGGCTCAGCTGAAGCAAGGCGTACAACTGCTGCTGCAGGAAAAATAAAATACGAATGCATTATATATTTACTTGCCAATTCATGTGTACATATACAAGTTTGTCATTTCCCCCAAGTCTTCTTATTTTTCATGCAAATTTCGATTTGCGCAGCAACCCATCCTTTTGGTCCGTACGTACGAACGCACGTATGTACATATGAATGTTTGTAGAGTGCAAAAGTCCTTATTGCAGTGTTACGTTGCGCAGCGCATTTTTCATTCATTCACACTACTAGTCACTCATCACTCGTGAATTTGGTGTGAATTTTTATACATATATATAAGAAAAACTTAATAGGGCTCTGTGTACATACCAGGGAAGTCACCTCGTGGGGAACTCCCCGATATGCGGGGAATTTCAGTTTGCGTGGGGAATCGGGGAATGGGCCGTTTTTTGTGGGGAATTTCAGCTCGTTCAATTCTAGTATAATAAAGTTTCAAATGGCCAAAAATTACCGTTGATTTTTTAGAATTTTTGTTTATCGCCTTTGCTTTCATATAACGAATAAACATAATTTATTTTCATATGGAAGAAAACCGCAAAAACTTCGGCAAAAAATTCTAAAACGAAATTTTTTACACACTTGCACTTTATTATAATAGAATTGAGTGCGCTGCAAAACGGCGTCAAAATATTTATAGAAAATCGAGTTAGAAAGGTCGAAATTTTTAGGAAAGTTTGTTGAATATTTTTCAAATATTGCACAAAGTTTCAAACTTGGATTTATAAAATAAAATAAACAGAAAGACCAGCAATATATCAAAATACATTAAATTTTTGTGTTTTTTTAATAAGGAGGTATTTACGTTTGAGGAATTTTACGAAATTTCGAGCAAAATCGGGGAATTTCATTGTCGAAATCGGGGAATTCTCAAAAATGAGTTGGTTACCCTGGTACATACTTACGTATGTGTATATGTAACACAAGTTTAACTAACCTCTTTTTTATATGCTCAATAGGGATGTTAATTTTTTTGACTTTACGATCCCGAGTTTTTCGGGATGTCGTTATCACAATTCCGGGATCCCGGGATTAGTCCCGGGATTTAGATATTCATTACTTTTCAACAACTTAAATCGAAAAAATTGCTTCTAAATTGTTTCAGAAGCTCTCCTAACATAAAATAAATAATAAATAAATGGGTTTGAAACCAACTTTTTATTTAAAGTGACGTTTTTATTTTTTCTCTTTGCCGTCAGGATTTATTTTAAAGGACTTTGTAGTATCAAAGATATGATTAATTCCAAAAATTATTTTAAAAATTCAATGCATTTTTAAATAAAAATATGGATACCAAATAGAAGGAAGGAAATTTCTTTAGAATTAAGATGAATTTAAATTTTTTGGATTCACAAGGACGAATACGAAATTTTTAAGCTGACTTGGTTAGAAGGACGAAATTCGAGGATATTATCGAGTTTATCCGTAGTATATAACTTTTCAAAAACAAATATTGCGAAATTTCAAGGAAAAAATTTTTAAAGGACATTTTCAATACTTACCAGTCTATTTGCACAAAAAAAAATTGATCTGATTAAATCTACAGAATTTCCTCTTTAATTTGATACCCATACTTCTTCCCGAAGCACATTTCACTGAATTTTTTGAATCATTTTGGAATTACTTACGTCAATGTGAGAAACGAAAAATGCAATTTTACAATATTTGGCCCATGGTTTCACGTATATATTGATTTTTGTGTGGAAAATTCACTATTGAGCTAGACATTTATGAAAAAATATTCACTATTAAATAAAAAAATAAATACATATAGCCAATATTGGTAAAGAAAAGGAGTTTCTATTTGCCAAGAATCCCGGGATTCCGGGACTAACTTTCCTAATACTCAATCATACACATAGCTACATGCGTAGGTATTTATATATTTTTCATGCATACATACATACATAGCTTATAAAACGCCTGGCCCTCATTTTAATTCTTTGCACACTTTTCCTTCTCTCATTGCAGTGCACTCTTTGCCCCACTTAACGGTGCTTAGCCTATCCGGTTGCAGTAAACTTACTGATGATGGCGTTGAATTGATTGCCGAGAATCTACAAAAGTTACGTGCCCTCGATTTGTCTTGGTGTCCGCGCATCACTGACGCATCGCTGGAGTATATAGCCTGTGATCTGAATCAGCTGGAAGAGCTGACGTTGGATAGGTAAGTTTCAAAAACGTTACACCCGGCTGGTAGGAGTAGGTTAGGATGGGGAAAATAAAGGAAAAAATCAATGCCCAACGAAAAAATGTCAATGGTTGTTGTGTGCACATACTATAGGTGCATTCGCGTTAATAACTATCAAAAACTATCAGGTTTTGCTGTTCTCGTACACAAAAATCCAGCAAAGTAGGGGAAATTGAGAGACCAAAATGACATTTTATTTTGGTGCGAAGTTGCTTGTTTCTGCTGGCGTGAGTGCAACTTGCTTAGTCTCAAGATCTACCCATACCGCCTCCAGTCTACACGTGACCAGAAGGATTTTGCCATCTTGCATCCCAGGGTCTTCGCCCAGCGCTTACTGAGTTGACTAAACGTCCATCTGTCAAGAAGCAGACCACATGGGGTCAGGGAAGCTCCCAGACCTCAATCCGGAAGTAATTCCTCAAGGGTTCTCTGTCTTTCCAGCTCATCGGCCATGCAGTGTCCAGAGATCTCGTTGTGATCTTAAACCCGAATAAACTTCATAACAAAGTAATCCGATGGTGTCGATAAAGAAGTCAAACTCGTTCTCGAACGCACCGTCAAGGAGCCAAGAGCCTTGATAGTTGCTTGGAATAAATATTCCCCTGCTTAAATAAAAGGTGTCACACTAGATAGCAACCAATCCGAAACCTATTTTGTTACGACCACCTCTGCCTGGAAGACGCTGCAGTGATCCGGATTCTTCGCAGAAGACACCTCCATCTACCTTCCCATTCAGCTTCGATCCATCTGTAGATAAGTTTACGGGACCCCGATTCCAGATACTGCACCTCTCGAAGTCCACTCGCTCTAGAATGTGGGGGCTGTGTACCAACTCACTGCCATGGAAGCGTGGGCAAGGGCAGCCCTAGCCAACTCAGGCGCTGCCAAGCATTTTGGCTGTACGGATTGGTGCAGCAATCCACTATGGAGTGCAAGTGTACACATAGAAAGGTTTTCATGTCTGTTTCCCTTCCAAGCGGGCATGTGTGTGTGATTCCTGGCCACCGCGTAATAGCTTGTGCTAGTCACAGTAGTTTTGTACGGATTCACGAAGCAGATGCTCCGGGCCAGACCAGTGTCACTGCCTAGCTAGCCGTAAGAGGAACCGTTTCTTGCTGGTCATCAGCACAGCAGTTGAGTGGTGAGCTGCGGGGTTCAAAATTAAGTTGCACACCATGGGCAATGTGAGCAACCCATGTGCGGCATACGGTACCCACTGCGTGGAAGCGATGGAGTAATAGTGGGGCCACTACAGGTTCCGCTGTAGGCGAAATTTTAAAGGATTGTGATTTGAGGATATGCAGCTGGAATGTGCTAACCGTAGTTCGCTGCCGATGTGCTGGAGTTCGCTGCCAGAAATTGGATTCCAAACGTTGGAGCGTGCCTGTTTTCACATATGTCACTTATGCTTGCCGACACTACCCAGCCTATAAATATTTGCCTTAAAATCTCCACCGGAGAATTTTCTACTCCTAGTTGCCTCAGTACACATTTACTTAAAGCTTCATGAATTTTTAAAATAGCTATAGAAAACAGCAGTACTTGAAGCTGAGTGGCTTTTCGTTGTATGTTACCAGGCTTTGAAGCGCGGTCTCTATAGATTTCTTCCAGCAAATGTGCGATATATAGGCGTATAAATGAGTGCAAATCAGTAAAAATTTTCAATCATCTTCATTTCGTTTTGTATTCCTTTTCGAAGTATACATTTCACAAATCCCCTCCTCTTTTCCAGGTGCGTGCACATCACCGATATCGGTGTCGGCTACATCTCAACAATGCTCTCACTAACCGCACTCTTTTTGCGCTGGTGCTCACAAGTACGCGACTTTGGTCTACAACACCTATGCTCAATGCGTAATCTACAAGTACTCTCACTAGCCGGCTGTCCACTACTCACCTCCTCAGGTCTGTCAAGTCTCATACAATTGCGTCATTTGCAAGAACTCGAATTGACCAATTGTCCGGGGGCATCACATGAATTGTTCGATTACTTGAAAGAGCATTTGCCACGCTGCTTAATCATTGAATAATACGCTTGCGGAACTACAAAGATGCTGCAAGCTATACAGAGTTTTGTGAAGGGAAAAGCAAAAATTGGAAGAGGAACTGTACTCCAACTTAAATGGATGCTAATGAAAATTATGAAAATGATACTTGTGATGTTGATGCTATTGCCAATGGAAACTAGCAAACAAATTTTGACGCTAAAGTTGGAACTTATGAAGCTATGTATTTACTAAAAACTTTAAAGGCTGCACTGAATACTCAAAATGCAAATACATACATACGTATACAGTTAAAAAAACAAAAAACAAAAAGCAGGAAAAAATGTTAAAATATATGCACCGAAAAAATTGGTTTGCATTTTTACAAGTGAATAAATAAAAAACTCTATGAATCTTTAGCTACTATTTACGAGCATCACAACATTAAAACTCTAACAACATATTAGTTATATTATTTTTACAAAAAATGCAAAACGAATTTTTTATTCAGAAAGAGCGTGCGTTTGCTCGTATCTAATAGTACATATATATTCTTTCTTCAATTTCCTAAAACGTAGTTTACTATTTCTACAACTAAACTCGGAAAACACAAAACCAAAAACAAAGTTTGTGTTAAACTTAATAGTAAAACTTACTTTAAATAAACAATGTTTATAATACTGCTAAAGAATGGCAATGTTCCTCAAGCTAAAGCAAAACATGTATGTACTATGTATAAAAAATATTCTAAGAACTTTATTCAACAAATTTGTCACTTGGAAATTCATAGTTTAAGCACTTTTTAGTACTCGTACTCGCATTTAGCGAATTTTTGCTACTATATAGTGATTTTAGAACAACTTATTGCTATTATTGTTGCGAGTAAAAAAAAAGCCTCGAAATTTTTATTTTGCGGTTTCATGTAAATCATAATTAAAATAGGTTTACAAATAATTCTTGGTTACACTGTATCTGTAACTGCGGGCTATGGGCAATTTGTATTTTGAAACGCAGGTAACTTTGTCTAACACAGCGACTGAAAATAATCGTCATTATCCAAATCGTAATTTTTTATTTATATTTTTACGATCATTTTTAATCGTTATTTTATGATATATATTTTTTCGATCAAAAATAATCGTTGTTCTTGGATTTTTATTTTGCGGACCATTTTTAATCGTTATTTTCTGATTTTTATTTTTTCGATCATGTTAAAACCGTTATTTTCAGATTTAATTGTTTAGATCCTAAAAGAATTAAACCGGTTATAGAAACGCAGTCTCTATTACAACGGTTAAAAATTATCGAAAAAAATAAAAATCCAAAATACCGATTATTTGTGATCGAAAAAATTTAAATCACACAATAACGAATAGAGATGATCGATCAAATAAAAATCATAAAATTACGATTAAAGATGATCGAACAAATAAAAACCGCAAAATAACGATTAAATTATGATTTTCTTATAAAAATCATAACGGTTACGGTCGCTGGTCTCACAATAGGTATATGATTTGATAAAAAAAAAATATATTCAATAACATTGACATATTCAATAAATAGTTCGCCAAGTTATACATACGTATTTAAAACACTGCACTGTGATCAAAACGCCTATTTTTCTGGCCAAAACTAACGTTTTACACGTGTTAACATAAATTTTATATTTTTCTCAAATCTTAACTTAGAAACTTTGGCCAGGTGTGGTAAGGTAGAAGAAAAAAAATCTATATCTTGTGAGCTTATGTCACCATATCTTATGCTGCGATTTCTGAAAAAAAACGGTTATTTTCGTAGGCTTTCTTCGTAGTATTTACCGTTTGCAAAGGTGAAGTCAATAAAGGTAGGAAACAAAAGGCTATTTAAAATGTTGCTGCACGGCTTGCTCATTTTAACGCAAGTTAAGAAATTCAGACTTCTTTGAAATCAGTATAATTTGGCATCATTTTTCAATAATTTCCACTGGAGCAAGTGAAATTTTTTTTCCTTCAAACGAATATTATAAAAAAACGCAACTGTTTTATTAAAACTACAAATTTAAATTTTTAGACCCCTTAAATATTTTTTTTTTACAAAAATGTGGGACATCATATGCTAATCAATAAAAAAAACTCGTGTTTTTTAAATGAACTACTTATTTATTTAGTCGTGATTAGTTTTGGCCAGAAAAAGAGGCATTCAGACCATGGTGCATTACAGGTACACCTCCCCGGTTATCCGGCTATTTGGTCATGGGGTTAAACATATTTTTATTAATTTTGCGACAATAAAACACCTGAGGAATCATAATACATAAGAAGTAATTAAAAATAATTTGCAAAATTCAAAAAATTATAATTTTTGAATATTTAATTAAAAATATCATGGCCAGGATTTTTTCAGCCAACCCACTCGCGAAATATTTGCTACCACATTAAATTTCATACAAAATAGATTTCATACATTAAACAGATGGGTGAAGGTCGTGCCCTATTCGGATCTTAGACTATATGAAGAGTTCTAAATGGAGCCTCGTTTGTAGAAGTAAATAAAAAATTATAAAAATCATTTAGTATTTGTTTAGTTTTCATACGCTGTGTACCTCTTTCGACATTTTAGATCAAAAATATTTAAGTTTCCGCCGTAGGCACGCTCAAAAAATTAGGCGAATTCGGTTTTTGATGTGTAAACATCTTTGCAAGATTCGCGCACACCAAGCCGAATTCAGAAGTACTTAGTGTAAATGAAAACGAAACTAATCAGCTGTTCCAGCAACACTGCCCGTTTGAGACTAGTTGGGGATTAGTTCAGGATTTTTTCCAGGCTAGTTTGGAACTTTTTCGGGACTGGTTTGAGACTTTTTCGGGACCATTTCGAGCCCAGTTCGGAACCGGGATGTTTACACATCAAATTTCATGAGTACCTGGTACTAACGCCGTTTTTCTTTTATAGCGTCATTTTAAATAGTGATATATGTATGTAGACATCGGGTGTTTTTGAGTTATATTAATTCCTTTACAAGAATACTATGATATAAATATTTTTAGTGTGTATTTATTTATTAAATATTAATTCGCTGTGATTCAATGTTTTAGTTTAGGTCCTATTTTATAGAAAATTGAAACTAAATAAATATTCATTGGCGATATATGTAGTACACGAAATTTTTTTTTAAGCTGCATCTTAGCTTTTACGGCATTCAGTTCTTTTCAAGCTTTCTGTTTTCATTGCTGTTAAAGGAGTAGAACTCTATAGCAAGCTTTTCCGATGATGGGGCTTTTGGCCCCCAAGGTGTAATAAAAAAAACGCATAGAGCGCTGAAAGCCTGAAAAGCGCTGAATGCCTGAAAAGCTTGCTGTGAAATCGTACTCTCAGTTCTATGTATCGGCGTAATGATCGGACATTTTTTAATTGTTTTAACGAGTACGAAAATAACTAGTGCAATGCTTTCAAGCATATGGAATTTCAACTTAAGTAATTTCTGTATGTAAATATATATTTTTGTATAATCATGTTAAGTTTAACTTTAAGTAAACTATAAACACTTATGTTCCCCAACAAAATCATACATCCGCCCACTTAGTTTATACGCGAGCAAATACATACATATGTACATATTTACTCAGCACCTACACAAACTACATAAGCAGAGAAATACATTAATACATATTTACAAATAGAAAATATTCAATACAATCAAATAAAAAACTAAAAAAGCAACATTTAAGATTTGCATAGCATGCATACATACATACATATGACATATGTACGTTAGGATGCCGCACCAAAAAATGTTGCGGGGTTTCCACCGTAGTTATAAAATTTGGACAAAATACTTCGGGGAAATATTAAGTTTTACGTGAGCCGAACGAATACCTCTGAAAATCTCATTATTTTTTAGATAAATAATAATAAATAAAATCAATTAAGGCCAGCTCACGTAAATCTTAGGGCTGGTTTCTCCAACTCTACTTAACTTAGTTTGGCCACTTTTTGGACTTAAGTCAAAAGTTAGCCTACGTTTTACAAAGCTTATTCTTGACTAAGTCAAGCAAATTGGCTTAACTAAGTTAAGTTGAGTTGGAAAAACCAGCCATTAATATTCTTCACAAAGTTTTGTAATTCCTGTAGAAAAACAGAACCATTTTTTTATTGAGTGTGATGCACCCTTATGCACATACATGCGCTTAAATAAAAATATTTGTCACATTTTTCCAAACTTTACCGAAAATCTCTGCTATCAAATTCCCACATACAGTTACTCCCAAAATTGAGCGTACGGCTCTTGTTTGTTAATATTCGCAATGGTTTACATGCTAAAAATTTTTGGTAAATTTCGTATTAAAATATGGTTTATATTTTAACATTGTAGTATAATAATGTCAAATTTCAAATCTCTAAAAAATCGCGTTGATTTTTGAGAATTTTTTGCTGACTGTTCTAGGTATTTTTTTTTTCATATAAAAAAATTTCAGAATTGCGAATATTAATAAAAAAAGAGCCGTACGCTCAATTTTGGGAGTAACCGTACATATGTATTAATTATAACACATCTCTCGATCGGAGGATATTTCTATAAAACAATTCTCGAACATTATTAGAAGGCAAATAAGCGCATTTAGTATAAGTTTTCCAAGCCAATAGCTTCAGAGAACTGCATTAAAAAATACAGTTTCAAATTTGTATGAAAATACTCGAAATTGCTAAATGGCGGTTGAACACTTTAATTTCGTTTTAAAACAGTAACAATCAGGGAAAGCTTTCATCATGCGCGCCTTTTATATCAGAAAGGATCTCATTTGAGCTTTGCCTGCGGTTAAGGCGGTGCCCATCACCGATATAAATTATATAGAAAATTTTCGAACGTTGCTGCAACGGTATTTATTTTTCTCATGACTGGTCTATATAAAACGCTGACGACTTATGAGAGCTTTTACACACTTTCATCTAAAACAAAGCTTTGAAAAGCTTTTTACGTGGTTCTTACTTTGGTAGTTGTAGCTACCTTCAGTGAACATAAGTACGAGCAAACACAGAGCGTATTTAACACTATTTTGAAGAACGGTTCAGCGGATTGCTTTACCTTAGTATTGGCATCATACATAATGTGACCAACTATTTCATAGCTCAAAGAAGTACAGATTAGGTTGAGTTACGTTAACGCCGCGAGCCGATTACGAAATTTCGAATGGGGCTAATTTTGATCCCTGAGAGCTCAGTGTTTGTTCACAAGTGCGCGCCCAAATGTTTCCATCCAAGCCTCGCGAAGGTTGGACAGTCTAAATGAAAGTGTGGAGATGATTCCACTTCAACTTCCTCTTGAATATTAGGCTTCTACGACAGCCACCGTTGATCGTCAACCTAGTTACCTGGTTCAGGTAACCTTGAGCTAGAATAAAAAGGGTGTACAGAAATCGTCCCTTAACCAAAAGTTCCACATCATCTACATAGGCGATCACCCGACAGCCCACTTTTCCAGTTCCTCTAGAAGGTCGTTTACAACCGCAATCCAGGGCAGGAGCGAGAGAACACCACCTTTTGGAGGGCTCCCATTGACTCCCCACTTCGCCGCGACAGTTCTGTCACGAAGGAAACTTATTAGGTTGGTTTCAACCCCCAGATTATGAATATACTTGACTAATGCCTCTGGAGGGACATTGTTGAACGCCCCCTCGATATCGAGAGGCCCCTGCTGCACAATCTTCATGCGTGAAGACTTCCTCTGACCACTTTACCAATGTGTGCAGGGCGGTATTCACCGACCTTTTCTTGCAATAAGCATATTGAGCTCTTGAAAAACAGTGACTGATAGGCCTAAAATCCATAGGAGAAACATGATAACCTTTCCCGGCTTTCGGGATGAACGCAACACTGACTACCCTCCAAGCCTTGGAGATGTACCCGGTCCTCATGCATGGATCAAACCAATTGCACGACATNCTTCAACTTCCTCTTGAATATTAGGCTTCTACGACAGCCACCGTTGATCGTCAACCTAGTTACCTGGTTCAGGTAACCTTGAGCTAGAATAAAAAGGGTGTACAGAAATCGTCCCTTAACCAAAAGTTCCACATCATCTACATAGGCGATCACCCGACAGCCCACTTTTCCAGTTCCTCTAGAAGGTCGTTTACAACCGCAATCCAGGGC